AACCGTTTCGGATGCACGGCTGCGGTGGCTGCCACAGGAGGCAGACAAAGCAGAGGGCGAACAGGGCCTCTCTCTTTCCAGCTGTTCTTTGATAAACTATGTTAAATTCCAAGCACGGGCCACACATAAAACAGGCCTCAAAAGTGACATGTAGAAACGGTGTTTCAGCTGCTCCAGGCAAAGTAAAGGACAACAGCAGCAGGAGAGAAAGCCACCACCTTGGCTTCCTAGCAAGGGTGGAATGAGGGGGAGGAAGGCTCGGTAATTTGACGTGAAGTCCCCATACCTGTTCGAGGGATGATGATTATGAACCTCCCGCTGGTGGCCAGCTGCTTGACAACAGCCAGGTGCTGGCAGAGGGCCTGGGTGTCCGGGACAAGATAAGGAGACATGGCTGACTGCGCTTTGGGCTGCTGGAGACTTCCCTCCAGCTGAGAAACCTCCAGCTGAAAAAACACACATGCAGAGATACTTGCTTCACATTTATACCGAAACAAACAGTCAAGTAGGGCAAGACTCACCCTGCAAAGCTCCATCAGGCCCTTCCAACCCCCCAGCACGTGGAGCAGAGGGCTGGATGCAGCCAGTGGGTCAGCGGGAGGTGACTGTCCCACTCCACACTGCCCTGGTGTGGTCCCACCTCAAATACTGTGCACAGTTTTGGGCACCTCAATAGGAGACGGACACCAAATTACTAAAGTATGTCCAGAGGAGGTTGACCTAAGACGGTGAAAGGTCTAGGAGGGCAAGGCTTACGAGGAGTGGCTGAGGTTACTTGACTTGTTCAGCTTGGAGGAGAGAAAGGTGACCTCATCGCTGAGGATTGACCTTATTGCTGGGGGATGACCTCATCACAGCCTACAACTTCCTCAAGGTGGGCAGCAGAGGGGGAAGTACTGATCTCCTCTCTCTGGTGCCTAGCCATAGGACACGAAGAAATTGAATGAAGCTGCTTCAGGGGAAGTTTGTATTGGACATTAGGAAAAGGTTCTTCAGCAAGAGGGTGGTCGGTCACTGGAACAGGCTCCCCAGAGAAGTGGTCATGGCATTAAGCCAGTTCAAGGAGCATCTGGATGACACTTTTAAGCATATGGTTTAGTCTTAGGTAGCCCTGCGAGGAGCAGGGAGTGGGACTCGATCATCCTTACGGGTCCCCTCCACCTCGAGATATTTTATGATTCTGTCTTTGCAGAACATGCTTACTGCCTCTGTGTGGGACAGGAGCAGAGAGCTCCCCCTTCCCTTCCTAGTTTCAGACATTTCGGTCACTACCTTGCCAGTTTTCAGGCTGGAACCAGCATGTCCTACCTGCAGTCGAAGTTGAGCCATATCTCTCATTAGCCTGTTCCGACGAGCTTCCTCTGCAGCCTAGTTACAAAAACAAACTTCCATATCAGTTAGCAGGAAACACACAAGCCGACACTAGCACGTGCTCCAAGAAACAGGGTGAAAAGGGGACACCTGAGTAGTTTTAAGGAGCAAAACTTTAATTTCCCACCAAAGACCTGTGATTATAGTTACAATCTTATAGTAATCTACCAGAAATTGTGCCAAGTACAGAGAATTAGCCCACCTCTGCCAACTCACCATGTGAAACTGGGCTTGGGCCTGGTGCAGCAAGTTGTCTTGCTCTGACTGTGCTATGCTGATGAAGATCCCAAGCTCTGAATTGAACTGCAGGATGCTGCCTTGCAAGTGGGTAATGAAGTGGCCAAAGCTCCGTATGCAGCAAATCCGAACAACAGACTGCAAAGAAGCAGACAGGCGATCACCAGCCACATCTCCCTAGGCAGACTGTAGCCTGAGCCAGCTCCAACCCTGCAGCTCAGGTTTTTGGAAAAGGTGGAAACTGCTATTAAAAAAAGATATCCAAAGGAAACATTTCTGATAGAAATATGCTTCTGAAGACAGAGGCTGCAGTAGAGGGCTGCAGGAAAGCCTAGAGGTGGCCAGAAAGCTTAGAAGTGCTTGCAGTCTGGGCTTCCCCAACTCAAGAAAACCTCAGAAAACATCAACAGATTCTCCCCGATAAATCTCTGCTCAGGCCCTCCGTGCTGGCAAAAGGAATCAAATAAAATAACAATCTATATCCGATTTTGGGGCAGGCACTACCCTTGGCTGGGCTGCTGAGCAAAGGCAGCAAAAGGAGCTTAGGTGGGATGCGAGATTGCTGCATTTTGCTCCAGCTGCCCTGGCAGCTTGAGATGACATTCAAGACCTCAGCCAGCTGGACAGTGATTTAACAAACATAGATCCCACATCCCGTGTCACAGCAGTGCCCTCAAATCGAGGCAAAAGATGTCAATGCATTCCCCACTCCAAAGGAAGCAGATCGGTCTAGCAAGGCAAGACAGGAGAACAATTGCCTTTTTTTGCACACCATTACCCAGAAATGATCACCTTGGCCCTTTGTGCTTGGGAAAACAGACAGAAGTGCCCTACGAAGCCACAGAGTGCCACAGGAAGCGAAATTTCACTGACTTCTGTTTTTACGAGAGAAGGATCACAGGAAGTATCCTGTGGCTCCAACCAAATTCCCTTCATTCAAGGCAGGGCAGAGAAAACAACTCTTCTGCCCAGACAGGGAGGTCAGGAGACTTCAAGAAGCAAAGATGTGAACGTGTGACTCTGCTTCCTTTCATAATGACTCTGACAGGGAAGGGAAGGCAAGGCAATTTTTTGAACACTGATTTTTGGATAGACAGATGACTGCAGCAACCACCAATAACACAAACCCATCTCAAACTCAGAAGTTTGAATCAGTTTGGAGTCTTTTTTGGCAAGAAAGAACTAGATCTTCATCTGCACAGCTAAGACAGGCTGCACCTCCAGAAAGGGAAATGCAGCTTGTGCCAAGATTCAGGAGTTACCCAGACTTACCTCCTCAACTGCTGAGAAAATGGGCCGGTCCTGCTCATAGTTAAACCTCTTGTGTGCATTTTTCAGAGGGGGAAGATTGCGCAGGGCCACATCTTCTGGGAGCAGCAAGTTGGCTTTTAGGTCTGGGAGCTCAGCACCACTCAGAATGTCCTTGACTTCATTACACAGGGCCAGCCCTGGAGAGGATAGAAGGGAAGCAGAACAATATACGGTGACTTAAAACAACTGACAATATACAGTGACTTAAAACAACTGAGGTGGGGACAAAAACTGCTTTAAGCCACACAGTCTGCAATGATCAAGGGCAGAGGTTTTAAATTGCACGTGTACTGTGAGCATGTGTTGAAGGAGGAACAAAAAGGTCACCCACAATATAAAGAATAACTGTCCCAAACAACCTGCTGAGGCACACCACTTCAGAAAAACTGTAGTTTGGAGGGTTAGCTTTCCCATTCGTTCCAACAGACAAGCATCCCTGTTTAAACTACGCTTCTCATGAACCACGGGGATCTTCAGGCTGAGGTACAGGGCACTTCACAAGCATCTGGAGCTTCAAAACTAGTTTCCACGACTGCCAATCATACTCTTACAGTATACAGTCAGTCGTACCTGATGGATTAAGAGAGCTAAAGCCTATGGGACCGTATTTAACTGGAATGGTGTTTAAATACAAAACCAACACATGCATGACGCCGCTTCCTACTGTGCTTATAAGCAAACTGCTACTGGCAAATCTCTCACCCCGGGATCTATCACACACCACGGAAATCACTGATGACTAGGCTTGCTGAAACATTACACTGCCACTTCCTTCTCCAGTACCTGATTCCTGCAGGTCTGCAGCAGAAGGCAGAAGGTTCAGGAGCACAGACAGCCTGTTCCACAGGCTCTGAGAGCTCTGCAGGAACAAAACACAAATGGCCACAGAAAATGTCAACACAGATGTATGCAATAACCAGGCTGCTTGGGCTTTCCAGCATCTTTCCCAGACCTCAGAATGCTTTATGAAGAGTAAACTTGACTACTCTTTTTAGGTCAAGATTATCTTAATTCAGATGGTGGGGTATTTAACATCACCTTCTGTCCAGGACTGCGACACCGGAGCTTCAATATGTGCCCTGAGTATCCCAGCCCAGGAGAACTGAACAGATGCAGCCTTGGGCCGAACACCGAGCACAGTTCCCACCTGAGCACACATGATGATGAGGTCCGTGTTTGTCCTCAACCAGTCCAGGAACACCTTGACAGTCAGAAGCAGCCCTTCGTTGGTCACAATCTCTAGCTTCTCCTGAAGGGATCGCTCATTCCTGCAGGATTTGCTACTTGAAATGCTTTCTTCAGAGTCAGACACATCATCTGGAAAACGAAGGGAAAAGCAGGATGGCAAACATTAACCCCTTGAGAAGCCAAGCTCTACTGGTATGAGAACAGCGCTGGGTTGGTAAGAGTTGAGTTGAACTTCTCAGTACCTCCACACATCCTCACAAAACCAGTTCCCTGTCCCCTATGTGGTTGATAAGAGCGTATCACTGTTGCATTTTCTTCTTGACTGGGAGAAGATTTGCTAAAAATCTCCCTGTGAAAGCTTGACAAACACCTTAACCCCTGCAGCAGCCTCTGAGATGCTCACTAACAGAGCAGAGGGAAGCAGTATGTGCCGCCACAAGGACCATATCATTTACTGCAGAGAACAGAGCCAGCGATCACTGTTTAGGTCAACGTGCACCAATCTTCGGGCTATGCAAAAGAAAATGGTAGGGCTATTTTACGAGCCAGGGCCCAAGTGAGTTTAAATACGGAATGCGCTTTGCAATCTTGTAATTCTACGGACCTGATGATCTCAAAGCCACTGCCAATGAAACTGCATGCGAGCTACATGAGTGACCTAAGGTCGAGCTAGCAGCAATCTGAGAATCAACGCTGCCTTTTGCTACAGTCCCTTGTTTTAATTGCACAGTCATTTCTGCCTATTAGCACAGCAATTATCATTCAATAAACACTGAGATTCAAAAGGGAGGAAGTAATTTATTCAGAAACCATCCCTGATAGTGTTAAAACCATGCAATAGCTCCAGTTTTGAAACAGCACAGCTGAGGCAAGGAGAGCTCAAAGCTAAAAAGCACAAGGGTTAATTCATTCAACCTGGCTCACTCAACCTCTCATTTTCTACATTTATAACGGTATCATGGCCACACTATTCAAATACATTCCTGAAGCTGCAACATCTGGGTAATCCATTGAAGGAAAATGTTAAACAGACCAAAAATCGTTTGTTTCTTCCTTTACCCCCATCTCTTTCAAGTGGCTATGAAGCAATGCTGGCAGCCAGTAAACATTAACATGATCTAATACTCCTCCTTCAAATCCTGGCCCAGGCAAAGCCCGAATCTTGCCAGTGCTGCAGGCCCATTGAATTTGGCAGCACGATGCAAAAATGTTTCCTTGCTCCAGGGAAGCTGGGAGGAATGACAAACAAGACCAAACAGGCCTATGAGGTTTTATGTGAAATACAAACAACTCCCTGTAGTGCACTGGATCTCCCTTTCAAGCTGTTTTTTCCCAGAACGTTACTCGGTTGTGTAAGTTGCATGGTAACAGAGACATTGCAGCTCCACCTGCCGTGCATGTGCGGTTTGGTCCAGCCCTGAGCACTCAGCAAGGCAGCGTCCAGAGAGTCAAAGAAAGAGGTCCTCAACACCTCTCGCGTGTTGATGCACCTTACGGACAAGTTCCTATGAGAGCTTTGCAGAGCTGATAATCTGACATCTCATGGAGAACTTCCTGGACTGCATCTGCACTGTTCATCACCAGAAGCACCAGCGAGTGTCTGATTACAGAGATTTCACATGGGAAAAAGGAAGATAATCTGAATTTTTAATACCTGCTGGAATTATCCTCTGTATTATCAGGGCTGCTCAGCACTTAGTCTGTTGAGCAGAACAACAGATAACCCTGGCTGGCTGCAGGTGTTTCATTTGCTCAGTGCACATCTCCCTGGATGTCAGGCAGTAAAGAGCATAGCTCATCCTTCAGGAAACACCCAACCCGCTCCTCCAAACCTAGCCGAAGGAGAACTCGCACCATGAGAAGGGGTGGATTTTAGCAAACAAACTGCTACAGCTTGCAGTTTTCTACATAGAACTGCAACAACAAATATTTTGAATGAGGTCACTGATCCTTACCTTGCTCTGCCAAAATTGGCTTCTCCAGATCTCCATTGACACATGGCTTGCTTTCCATTCCATCCTTCAGGATCGGTGGTTCACTGTTCGGTTTCAGAAGGATGTTGCTGAAAGTGGGAGCCAAGCGAAAGCAGCGTTTGGTCTGAAACAACTGGGTGGACATGGCCTGGAGATTACTGGCTATGCTTGCGTCATTAGTGCTCAGGGAAGCTGGCCCATTGACTGCTGGATCTGGAGCCTCAATTTTAGAGATGCTTGGGCTCTTGGAGTCCCCCAGCCCACTGCCATCCACACAGTTTTTTAAGGCCTCTTTGGGCCCGCTTTTGTCTCGGCCGCTTCCCTCCTCACCCGGCTCATCCTCCATGTCCTCTAAGTCGGACCGAGATTCTTGGCTGTTCATGTCAGAGTCCGTCTCCACATCAAAAGCAGCTTCTGCTTCCTCATCACTCTTCTCTGAGCCACTTTCTGAGCCATCGCTGCCCTTTATGGAGCCCTGGCTGGAGTCAGAGTCAAAGCCCTCGCTCAGGTCACTCTCATCTACCTTCTGGGGGTGGCGGCGGCGACGCAAACAGGAGAGGCGGGAGTATTTCTTGCTTTTCTTGCAGTCGTTCTTCCGTTGCTCATCGCTGGGCTGATGATTGGCCAAGTCAGCTTCAGCTTCCTTCTCAATCGAGTTCAATGGCTCCCGCGGCTCCTGGTCATCTGCAGGCATTTAAAATGAGACCACAAGTTAAGAAAGTCCCGATGTGTCACACAAGCTGCTTGCCAGCCCTGAGCCTGGGGAACCAGTAATGCAAATTTCAGCCATCACTTCTATCAGAGTCTTTAACTAGAGAAAAAGACATGACAAGCCTAGAAGAACGACTCACTTGCTAAAAGGCACCCAGAGAGACTTGGAAAGCCTGGATTCCTACTGCCCAAGCTGTACTGCTCCGTTATCAGGCAGCCTCAGTGCTGAATGCTGCTAGACCAGCATAAAACACATAGTTGAATCTTAAATCTTTTCCCCAGCTTTCTACAGTCTGAGAACCAAGTGATTAAACCAGCTACTCCACCCTGTAACTAGACTGAGTTGACCTAACCCCTTCCTTGACCAACATGCTCACAGCCTTTCCAGCAGCCCTGTGTCACCCCGACAGCTTCAAAAACCATGCAGGGGAGGAGTCATTCATTGTTGCTTTTGAGCAGGAAAACTCTAGCCTTGCATTCTGCGAAATATTACAAACTGTTTGCAGGGGAAAGATGCAGCAGTTTTATTCTCTGCTCAACAGGATCCCCCAGAAACGAAAGATCTGGTTTTGTCTGAGCAGAGATGAGGTATGCTAAGCAAGGCCTGCCTCCCTTAGACACTGCTCTGCCCAGGTGTTTCACCTGAGATCATTTCCTCGGTGGAGGAGAAGAGAGTCCAGTAAATAGCAACAAATAGACAGAAAAACAAGGAGCACAGATGAGGGTAAACAGACGATGAAAGAGCTGCCAAGAGATACAGAAAGATAACTCCTTACAACAAGGATTTTCATCCTGTGATGATCCTGATACTCACAGAGAGTGTCTAAGTAGAGACTGTCTCAGCAGATTACCCATCTTTGGGCACTTCAGCCCAGCAGTTGTGACAGTGTCCCCTCCCTGCCCCCCCTTTCTGCTTAAGCAATAGCCACCAGTGGTGGTCGTGATGGCTGCATCTGGCTTAAGTCAGACTCTGGGGACACAGATAACAACGCAATAGCTAAAGGGTCATAAATCTTGCTCAACAGCTGAGGGCTGGTTAAGCATGTACCAATCAAAATATGGCTGGTATGCAAATATAAGTCAACCATCTTACTCCATACATAGTGGACAGCCCAGTGCCTGCTGAGCTCTCCTGCACAACAGCGGGTTGCATGCCAGGACCTCCCCTTGAGCAGGGACGCCTCTCGAGGTTACTCCTCGAAGTTGGGACGATCCTTATCGCGTCAGATACTCAGTAAGTGAATTGGGAATAAGCGTGCTAAAACTTTGAAGTCTTAGCTAAGTGATACAAAGGATTGATTGTGCACGTATAATCCTTTAGGCATAAACTGTTGATCAAGTCTGGGACTAAGTCTGGATTCAGCCGCACCTAAACTCCCTTCTGAGAAGGGGTTTAGAACACAAGGGGGTCCTTTCTGAACCTCATGACTCCCGCGGATGGGTCTCCCCAACAGTTTTGTCTGACCCTGTCCTCCATGCAGCAAATAATCAAGTGTATCTTGCCATCAAATCTTGTTAAACCACTGTCGCATTTACTCTCAAGCTTTGTTAAATCGCTGTTTTATTGTATCAATAAACATATTGCTACTTCTCTCTTACAAGTGAAGCACGTCACTTCATCTGCAGCAGCAAAGATCAAGACGTCTCTAACACCTCTCAGGCATTACACTACAAACCGCATCCCCAGGAGATTTAGGAAAGAAAAGCAAAAGCCAGCCCTATAGGCAGGCAACTGCGGAGACCCAGTTTATGCTGTCTCTGTTCTCTTACCTGTGCCATCACTCTGAAAAGCTGGGACTGGATTTTCCCCTTCCTCTAGCTCTGCCTGCAGGCGAATATTGACGTGATTTATCAGGTGAGAGAAAAGGGCCAGCGTGAAAGCAATGGCTGCACTGTACTGCTTTGAACCTGCAACAAGACAGCATAATGAGGTGGAGGAGATTGACCACTAGTCTAAAACATGAATGCCAATTAAGATAACATCTTCAGCCTAACTGGACTGCTGAATGTTAATCACTAAATTTCTGAATGGCTGAATAAAGCGCTGGTTACCTGCCCTCTTGAGGCTGTGAACACTCATAAGGCAGATGATCACCATGCGAAAGATCAACAGATCAGGAAGGAAGGAGTAGCCACTCTCATACTCTTCTTCATCTTCACTAGTTGAGCTCAGATTAGGAGGAGAGGGCAGGTAGAACAAGCACAGGTTGAAATCTTCCAGCACAGACTGGCAGAGAGATGTCAGCTCAGAATCCAGAGAGCTTAACAAGAGGAAAAAATAAACAAGAATTATTATTCAAGACTCAAGCTGCTGGCAATGTCTGCATGGAAACAGACCCAAAACCAGCAGTCAGGCTATCCTTTAGCACTAGGCAGGATGAAGCGCCAGGGAATACACTGCAGGCAACAACAGCTATGGGAAGCAAGTGAGATTAATCAGATTATGTTTTCCTCTCCAAAGCTGCTAAACTAAAGACAAACAGTAACTAGAGTACCTCCCTGCAAAGAGATGGGTCACCGAAAAATACATGACTTTTTCCCCGGGAGCTCAGACAGGAGCCATTAAGACACACAAGGTACTTCAACGCTAAAGGTAGCAACAGTTTCAGATCCACTGCTCAGTTCAGGATCACACTGCAGTACACAAACTGGGGACTGAACTTTTCCTCCTCCTACGTCTCTAACTTGCAGCCCTGTAAGAGTATTCCAAAATCCTCTGTAGCTATTAGCTACTTCAAAGGAACCACCCATGGCATTCAGTATAATGGGCTATGGGAGTCTCCCAATTACAAAATAAATCCGTGTGCAAAATGTCTAGCAAATGCTTTTCAGGGGGCAACATGCTTAGGAAACTGAAGTAATTTCCAATTTTCTTATGCACTAAATGTGTTAAGTGGATATTAAATGAGCCTTGAAGTTCTCCTCCAGTATAAGTCAATATTTGAAAGCTAATCCCACACTGGGCTGCATTAGCAAGGGCACAGCCAGCAGGTTGAGGAAAATCATTATCCTTCTCTATTTGGCACTCACGAGATGGCATCTGGAGTACTCCATCCAGCCTTGGGGTGCCCAGTACAAAAAACAACAATCAAAAAGCCACCGACAAACTGGACTTAGTCCAGCAGAGGACTGCCAAGGGGAATGGAGAACATGACATATTAGAAAAGGCAAAGAAAATCAAGTTTGTTCAGCCTGAAAGAGAGAAGGCTTGGGGGGTATTTTCTTTTGTTTTCAGATGCCAAATAGGTGGTTATAGCGGGCTGAGTAAGACTCTTCTCAACAGTGCACAGCACAAGGAAGGGAAGCAATGAGTACAAGCTGCAGAAAAGGAAAATGAGACTAGATGCAAGGAAAAAAAAAAAAATTCCACAGTGAAGGTGGCTGAACACTGGAAGAGGGACCAGAGAGGCGTGGAATCTCTGTCCTTAGATCCCTTCAAAACTCAGCTGGATGAGGCTCTGAGCAACATCATCCGACTTCACAGTGCATCCTACTTTGGGGGAGGACTGGACCCCTAAAGGTCCCTTCCAACCTAAACTATTCCACAATAAATATAGCTGTAGCCTGTGTATAAGCCTTCTAAAACACCTGCTCTGTTTCATGCAGTAAGAGGTTAATTTACAATCACCTCAAAGCCTCCCAGCAGAGACAGAGAAAATCCAAGGCGGTGGGGGGAATTAAAAAAGAAAAAAAAAAAAAATCACACAGCTGTACAAAGTTTTCCATTTATTCTAACATGAACAGGTTATGCTATTTGTTTCTTTGAACAAGGTATTTGGTTACAGTTTTGCAAATGCAATGAACAGCCCTGCACACGTACAGACAGTGACTATTTGCTGTCCTATCAGCCTAAACCCAGTGCTTGCCAGGAAGAAGCATTTGATGACTGAACAAGCCAATTAAACACCAAAGCCATCGTACAGCACAGAGGTGAGCTGTGAGGCTCAGGAGTTCAACATTCACTCACCTACTGGCTTGAGTTAGCCAGAGTCACAAAGTATTTAACCCTTTGGTATTTCAGCCTCCCTTGGAAGATAATCTTCTTCACTCTCCCTGCAAGGTTAGGAGACTAAAGTCTTGGATCTTTTGGCAGAAAGCCTCAGCACAGGCACTGTTATCCTACAGGGAACAGTTTCTTCCAATTCTGAACGCCTGGTACTGTGAGTTATCACTAGAAGATATAATCTGCCATAACCTTACCTGCTCTTTGGCTGCAAAAGACTCTGCAGGTACATAAAGCTCACCAGCAACCTCTTAATGTCTTTGCCGCTAAAAAGATTGAGAAGAAAACACTGTAAAGCAGGTACCCCGTCACATAGATGGACTAGACTAACACAGCTCTATTAATAGGTAAATCAGGTCTTAACTGAAAATTACATTCTAATGAAACTGGGGAAAAAAGAGACAGCTTATACACTTCTAACTTTCACCAATATGCCTCAACCCTCATGAACAGTCACCAGTTCCAGGGGGGAGTGAGAAAAAACTCTCACCTCAAACTACACCTAGCCAACATTTAGCTTTTCTCCTGAAATTATGACCCGAGAGATCTAGGCTAGGGCTCTCAAAATTCTGGGAACAGTCACTGCCTCAAATCGGCCATCTACCAGTTCCCACTTCCCAGAAAGACACTACTCTCAACCCAGAGGACGACACTGGTGGCATTGTAAACCCTCACCCTGCACCCCTCTCCTTTTCTTTTCCTTCTTACCGTTTCTTGCTTGGAGACAACTTCCTGGTTTCACATTTCTTCAACTGGTGATACATTTTGGCTGCTTTGTCATACAGCCGCTTCAGGTTCCCATAGGCACCTTCAAAGGACACTTCAGATTGGATACTAAGATACCAAAATAGAACACATCAAAAGTTACTTTGCCACAAGGTTGCTCCATTTTAGGGCTTTAATTCACTAGAAAGTTACGCAGGCATCTAAGCATGAAGACAGGTACCAAGTGATTTTGTTCGAACATGCTGGGCTACTTACTTAACTCCCACTGATGTCTGCAAACCCCAGTTCAAGCTACACCACAGCGCTACCTGCTATGTTTACACAGCTTTTCAAATTTGTGCCTTAAGGCCATGTGCAGATAACTGAATTCCACCCACCTCACTATGCAGGGAGCCTCACTCAGCACCTCCAACTCCCCTTCCAACCTGGCTCCCTAGCACAGATAGAGGGTCTCAGATGAAACCCTGCCCTCCAAGTGCAGCCCTGTAAATGTATTTTAGTGACCAGCATGATGGTTTGGTTTGACCAAGGCTCACTCTTATTACCAGTCCTGCTCACGGGTGAAATAAACCCACCTCTCTTCCCTCTCTCCTGAAACTCCTCTGCTGAGAACAGTCCTAAGTCCAAAGTAAAGGAGAAAAGAATCTGGCACTAGCAACCACAGTGCACTGACTCTCTATCCAGAAAAGCAAGTTCCACACAGACACTCACCAGCGTAAGTAGCAATAGGTAGCTTCCACATTGTAGTATTTGCTCCCTGCCAGTGTCCCCAGCTGGTTAAAGGGCATGCCTGTGATGAAAGAGAGGGGCAATGGAATTAACTTACAGTTCTCCAATGGCCCTGCTAGAAAGCAGATCCTTTCCCTCTCACTACATTTCCACACAGGAGGGAAGCCAGGACACACAAACAGTAGTAAAGCTGCGGTACAAAGGTCTAGACTTATGCCACCCAGGTTTTTCTCTGTTTTATAGCGCTTTTAGATCCTCCGCAACTTCCTGTCAGTTATCTACATAAGAAAGCAGAGCAAACAATGCCTCCCCCTCTGTATTACTAATGCCATGGCCTTGACTCTGTATTCCTCCTAACATAGGCATCATACTATCAGCATTTAAGAGTTCTGTTCCAGCTCACTGTGGTACATAAATTTTTGTCACTTATTGGTATTTGGGATCAGCCTATCAAACAACTCAGTGAGAATTCTACAAAGACAGCAAAGAGAAAACATTTTTCTGGAATTGCACACTTTTAAAGATAAGACAGGCCCTCAACTCTTGCCACAATGTGTTCTCATAAGGCAGTCGCTTCTGAAGGAGAAAGCAGCATGTGAGATCATTTGTTTTTTCCCACAGGAGTGAAAAGAGAGAGATAACCAATAATGCTCTGCTTCTGGCAACGGACAGCTGGATCTTCCCTTAGCCAGACACGCACAACTTTACCACATTCATGCAAGTCTGAGCTTCTCAGAGGTTATCCAATGAGTAAGTTGAGGTCACTGGCGAAGAGCACCTTTGCTTTAACTCCTCTCTTCGGCTTGCCAGCAAGAGAGATTCTCAAAGAAGGAAGTAATTTTAACCAGAGGATAAAACGACTCCTTTCTCAGCAGCAGGACATAACCTGACCTGCGTAGTATCACCGAGTATTCTTTTTAGGCTGCGGTAACATGATTTTAACAATTAAAAATTCATGGTAACTCACTCACCAATTTGTGGTGCAACAGAAAGGGCTTGATAGTAAAACCGCTCAGCCAGCAACTCTGTGTCCACACCTGCCAGTTCATTCTGATAGCGAGCTGAAAGAAAACCACACACTGCACATCAGAAACCAGAAGGCAGGGTCTCTTCTTCCCTTCTGCAGAGAAGC